GTGTCAGGCGCCTATAGTCCCAGCTACTTGGGAGGCTGAGGCAAGAGAATCGCTTAAGCCCAAGAGTTGGAGGTTGCTGTGAGCTGTGACACTATAGCACTCTAGCCAGGGCAACAGCTTGAGACTGTCTCAAAAAAAAAAGAAAAAGAAAAAAGAAATCATTTTATCAATTTTTTTTTTTTTTTTGAGACAGAGTCTCACTCTGTTACCCTAGGTAGAATGCCAAGGCACCATCATAGCTCACAGCAAGCTTAGTCTCTAGGCTCAAGCCATCCTCTTGCCTCAGTCTCCCAAGTAGCTGGGACTATAGGAGCCTGGCTAGTTTTTCCATTTGTAGCAGAGATGGAGTCTCACTCTTCCTCAGTCTGTTCTCAAACTTTTGAACTCAGGCAATCCACTGGCTTCGGCCTCCTAAAGTGCTAGGATTATAGGCACGAGCCACCACACCTGGCCTACAAGCTTTTTTTTAAAGGGTTCCTTTTGCCTGATATCCTTGGGGCACAACCAGGGCCCTGAGTCCCCCCAGAGCAGCCCAAAGAGACTGCTAGATATTGTCACTATATAGGTGAAGTCCAATTTTCCTGGGCACAGCCTGCCCAGGGTACCCACTCACCTGCATGCACTGGAAGAGAAGTGTCATGATGTTGCTACGGGCCACAAGTTGTTCCACATGGCCACCCAAGCCCTCAGCCAGGCCACTGAGCAGGTCCAGTGCCACGATCATGAAGTCCTTGTCAGGGGCCTCGTACTGCTCAGGGTGCTGGGTGTACATCTGGGCATAGATGGGGGCAGGGAAGCAGGTGAAGGGAGCAACCTAGGCATGGGAAGTAGGGGAAGGACAGGTGGGTAGGCCTCAGGGGGTGGAGGGTACTCACCATGGCCTGGGCCAGTGTCTTCTGCACCAGGGTGACACAGCGTTGATAAACAGGCTCACAGTACGGCAGGAAGCCACTTTGTAGGGCAGTGGCCACTGATGATAGGCACTGGCAGGGAGGAGAGCAAGACAGGGGAACTCAGGTGAGGCAGTGTATGTAGGAGTCCAGGTGGGGCCTAGAGCTTACTCACCTCCAGCAGAGGGAAGAGGTCCTTGTCCTCATCCTTGAGCTCATTCCACTTCTGAATCAGTGGCGGCATCAGCTTCTGGATGTACTCCTAGAGGGAAGTGGGAAGTTGGGGCTCCCTAGGTTGGGGTGGAGGCCTGTGACTCAGAGGCTCCTGTTGCATCATTACTGAGACCATCTCCTCATGGTAGCTCATGAGACTCTGCAAGGCCCGCTGTGGACCAGACCTCCAGGCCCTTCTCCACTGAGCGCTGCCCACCCCACCCCACCTGCCAGGGAGCCTGGATCACCACATCTTGGTGCCCCTAGGCCCCTGAGCTCCCAAAAACACAGCACTCACCACACTGTCTCATAACTTTCTCCCCCACTAGACTGGGAGCAGGGCGAGGGCAGGGGCCGAGTCTGTCTGTCTGCCTCTTGAGGTCATGGCCACATCCCTGACATGCGACACGGGGTCGCCACCAGGTCACCATGTGCAAAGAACATGCGGATAGGAAGGCTAGAGCCACTCTGGGGTCTCACCGGCTGGTTAAGGTGGTGGCCCACAGAGTCAGCTAGAGTGCCGATGGCGTCATAAAGGATGAGCAGGTTCTTATGCTGGTACTTGCCAAAGGCAAAGACAAGAGTGTCCAGGATGTAACTGAGGTAGGGCACCAGCTCCGTGCAGGCCTCCTCCTCCAGGGTGGCAAAGGCACTGGCAGGAGGAAGGGCAGGACAGGGTTCTAAGTGGACACTATCAGGTGGCATTGGGCCCCGAGCAGTGGAGAAGGGTGCACTCAGGATCAGCCAGTACGAATACTCAAGAAATCAGTGCCCATCAGCAGTCACAGGTGTCATCACTTCCCAGAATGGGGCAGGGAGATGGGTTGGATTGTGAGGTTAGGGGTCAAGGATCACCTGCACGCTGCCTCCTGCACCCTCTTGTTGCCATCTAGGATGCGTTTGAGAAGCTCCGTCATCAGAGGCTTGAGGTGCATGTCGGGTGGTTGGCTGACCACCCAGTGGGCATAGCGGCTCAAGGTCCAGCAAGCAATGGAGCGGACCAGAGCCTTCTTGTCTGACAGGCACTGGATGAGGTGTGGGATCAGCTCAGGCAGATAGGGCACCATGCCCTGCATACAGCCTGCATCAACCAGAAATAAGAGGGACAGTTCAGCTGGGCCCAGACACACCCACCCTAAGGAGAGAAAGGATCAGCCCCACCTAACAAATGGGGAAATTGAGGCTCAGAAGTAAAATTACAGCCAGTTCACAGAGCCAGGAAAAGCCAGAGGCAGAGGAGGAAACAGAACAGAGGTAGCTCATCACAGGTGATGTGCTACATTATCTGATCACTGGCTAATAACAAATATACCACAATGTACTGTGTTTCCCCGAAAATAAGACCTACCCAAAAAATAAGCTCTAGCAGGATTTTTATGCATTTTGTTAAATATAAGCCCTACCCTGATAATAAGACCTAGTGATGGGTGTGCAGATAGGCTGCATAGCCACGCCATGCATTTAGGCACGGAGAGGTAAAAAAGACTGGAATACCTTTTATCTGCCACAGCTCCTTTCTCCGAGCCATTCGCACTTGCGCAGGTGTGCATGTGGTAACTGGGGTCACAGGCATCCTATTGCGCATGTGAAAATGGCTAGGAGAAAGGAGTTCATGCATCACTAGCACCAGCCCCACCAACAAGGTCGGCTACCCCTGTCAGGTTCCAGAAGATGACTTAACTGTATTTGAATAAATGTAGATTGTTGTATTATCCTTAATAAAAATAAGACATCCCCTGAAAATAAGCCGTAGTGTGTCTTCTTGAGAAAAAATAAATAAAAGACAGTGTCTTATTTTCGGGGAAACATGGTATATAGTGAGTAGGGTTTCATGGGGCAACAGTGACCCAGAGGGAGAGAAGTACTCTGCATTTAAACAACCAGGCGTTGCGGCGGGTGCCTGTAGTCCCAGCTACTCGGATGGCTGAGGCAAGAGAATCACCTAAGCCCAAGAGCTGGAGGTTGCTGTGAGCTGTGACGCCACAGCGCTCTACTGAGGGTGACAAAGTGAGATTCTGTCTCAAAAAAAAAGAAAGTACTCTGCATTTAAAATCCTTCTTAAAGGCTCGGCGCCTGTGGCTCAAGCTGGCTAAGGCGCCAGCCACATACACCTAAGGTGGCAGGTTCAAATCCCCAGCCCAGGCCCGCCAAACAACAATGATGGCTGCAACCAAAAAATGGCCGGGCGTTGTGGTGGGCGCCTGTAGTCCCAGCTACTTGGGAGGCTGAGGCAGGAGACTCGCTTGAGCCCAGGAGTTGGAGGTTGCTGTGAGTGTGATGCCATGGCACTCTACCCAGGGGGACAGCTTGAGGCTCCGTCTCAAAAAAAAAAAAAAAAAATATCCTTCTTAAATGCGTAAGATTTTTCTTTTTATCAACTTTTAACATTTTTTAAAATTTTTTATTTTTCTCCTTTTAGAGATTCTTGTTCTGTTGCCCAGGCTGGAGTTCAGTAGCACAATCATAACTCACAATAATCTCGAACTCTTGAACTTAAGTGATTCTCCTGCCTCAGCCTCCCAAGTAGCTGGGACTACCGGCACAAGTCACCAATACTGGGCTAATTAAAAAACATTTGTTTTTGTACAGATGAAATCTCAAGATGTTGCCCAGGCTGGTCTTTAATTCCTGGGCACATTCCCACCTCAGCCTCTCAAAGTGCTGGTATTATAGGTGTGAACCACCACACTCAGCCTTCTTAAACCATAAACACTCTGATAATATGATAGTATGCCCCCAGGCTCGGCACCTGTGGCTCAACAGCTAAGGTGTCAGCCACATACACCTAAACTGGCGGGTTCGAATCCAGCCCGGGCCTGCCAAACAACAATGATGGCTGCAACCAAAAAATAGCTGGGCATTGTGGTGGGTGCCTGTAGTCCTAGCTACTTGGAAGGTGGAGGAAGGATATTTGCTTGAGCCCAAGAGTTGGAGGTTGCTGTGAGCTGTGATGCCATGGCACTCTACCCAGGGTGACAGCTTGAGGCTCTGTCTCAAAAATAATAATAATAGTATGCCCCCAATAAGGCAAGATATAAGATCTACTTTTACCAGCATGAGGTCAACTTCCTTTGATATTTTCCCATCAATATGCAATATACCTAACATAGCCTGTTAATACATGTACAAATTCTAAGTAAAATATATTACATACCCTATTAGTTATAGGGTATGCTAATCATCTATTTTATGTGGATACCTTTCCTCAGATAAATTTAAAAGAGTGGAACCTGCTGCTTTGCCTAAAATTTTTAGGGCAGGTCTAGATGCAGCTGCCTCTCATGATGCCTATAACAAACTGACAAGCTCTTCATCACGTGGTGATGAAGATAGAACAGTTTGTCTACTTAAGTCTAGGGCAAGCATAGGGAAGTACGTTATTATTGTTGCTGTTGTAATTATACTTACAACAATTTTTTTTTTTTTTTTTTGGAGACAGAGCCTCAAGCTGTCCCCCTGGGTAGAGTACCGTGGCATCACAGCTCATAGCAACCTCCAACTCCTGGGCTCAAGCAAGTCTCCTGCCTTAGCCTCTGAAGTAGCTGGGACCACAGGAGCCTGCCACAACGCCTGGCTATTTTTTGGTTGCAGCTGTCATTGTTGTTTTGGAGGGCTGGGCTGGATTCGAACCCGCCACCTTAGGTGTATGTGTCTGGCGCCTTAGCCACTTGAGCCACAGGCGCCGAGCCTATACTTACAACATTGATGTACTGCTCTGCCCCTGAGAATGAAGGAGAGGGCTTGAATTTTGGGGCTTTAGCAGCTCCTTCCAGGCCCATGGGCCAAGGGGAGGCAAGAGATCTCTGAGCTGTTTGCAGGGGGGTGAGAAGGCCACCAGGGAGAACTCAAGCATGGCATCATCAGTGGGGCATCCATAGTGGCATGCCAGCACACAGTTAGCGGTCAGGCGCAGACAGCCCAGGTGGGCACTCACCCTCAGCAATGGCACCCAGCACCAGGATGCCTGACTCCTTGACGACCCACTCAGGGTGGAAGAGGAGGCCCTTGAGTAACGGAAGGAGGTGGGGCAGCAGTTCCTCCCGGAAGACATTGGCAAGGACATCCAGTGCAGCTGCTGAGCACTTCCCTGGGTGGGGGAACATTGAGGGGTAGGCTCAGGGAAGCCCAGTCAGACAGGCAGTGGACCTTCCTTCACTGCACCCCCTGGGATCAGAGATCATAATCAGAATCTTCATTATCTGTTCTGCATCAGTCTGATCACCTACCAGCAGGGAGACCAGGGCTTGCCACCCCCACACCTCCACTCCACTCCACCCCACCCACAGGTTGGCCACACACTCAGATTCCAGTCAGACAGAGCATCGTCATCATCATCATCCTCTGCATCCTCAGAGCCATCCGGCCGCTCCGCCTCATGGGGCAGTGTTACTGTGCGTGACTTGTGGAAGCGTGGCTTAATGTCCTGCTCGCTGTCAGGAACTGCCTCATCTTCTTCCACATCCCCCTGGGGGCAAGGCCAAGCAGATTGCTAAGTACTATTGGGACAGCAGCCCCAACACCCTTGCCCATGCCCACCCATGCCTGACCTTGAGCAGAATGATGTCAATTTCCGAGTACTTCATCCCATTTACCAGAATGGGAATCAACCTGTCCAGAAAGAGGCTGTTTGTTAGGATGAAGGGGGCCCCCAGCAATAAGAGCAGGGAGCGGGGAAAGGGGAATATAGCACAGAGAAAAGGGAAGCAGAGGTGTGGGTAGAACCACTGATGAGCCATGGGGCAGGCAGTGCCCAACATGCTGACATTGCTTGTTGCCATTCATTCATTTCCCTATTGGGGACTATTCCAACTTCATCTCAACTACCAAAATTAGAACACACTTGACACCATGTCTGGTTCCAAAGAAAGGCTCTTACCCCAGACCTGGTCTCTAGTGACTTCCAAATTTTTGAATACACTGAAAACCCTGACCTATGGCAATGGTCTCATCATTCCCAGAACCTGTCTGCTCAGCTTCAAACCATAAGACATGATCAAAAATGATTCAGGGGCTTGGCACCCGTAGCTCAGTGAGTAGGGCACCAGCCACAATTACCAAGGCTGGCAGGTTTATGCCCGACCTGGGCCTGCTAAACAACGACAACGGCAACCAAATCATAGCCAGGCGTCGTGGCAGGTGCCTGTAGTCCTGGCTACTTGGGAGGCTGAAGCAAGAGAATCGCTTAAGCCCAAGAGTTTGAGGTTGCTGTGACCTGTGACACCATGGCACTCTCACCCAGGGCACCATAGTGAGACTCTGTCTTGAAAAAAAGATTCAGTGATAGGTGATGACCCTAGTTGGTCAAGGAGAGTCAACTCTAGAACTTTTATTGGGGATTCAAGTCAAGCGGGAATGTCTTTTATTTTTTTTTGTAGAGACAGAGTCTCACTTTATCACCCTTGATAGAGTGCCGTGGCGACACACAGCTCACAGCAACCTCCAACTCTGGGCTTAAGTGATTCTCCTGCCTCAGCCTCCCGAGTAGCTGAGACTACAGGTGACTGCCACAACTCCTGGCTATTTCTTGGTTGCAATTAGCAGTTTGGTTTGAACCCGCCACCCTCAGTATATGGGGCCAGTGCCCTACTCACTGAGCCACAGGCAACACCAAGAGGGAATTTCTTTACTCTGAGGTGCCTAAGTTGGAAGGGTGCAAGCCCACGGCACTACTACAAAGGTCGTACATGAAGACAAAGCCAATGTGAGGCCACAAAGATACCTTTAATTTCCTTTGAGTACCTGAATCCAACCATGCCAGAGCTTTTGTTGACTTTTCATTTATGCCTGTCAATTATCTAATTTTTAAGCCATAAAAGCTACATTTTTTTTTCCTTTTTTTTTTTTTTTGAGACAGAGCCTCAAGCTGTCCCCCTGGGTAGAGTGCCATGGCATTACAGCTCACAGCAACCTCCAACTCCTGGGCTCAAGCGAGTCTCCTGCCTCCGCCTCCCAAGTAGCTGGGACCACAGGTGCCCGCCACAACGCCCGGCTATTTTTTGGTTGCAGCCATCATTGTTGTTTGGTGGGTCCGGGCTGGGGATTCGAACCCGCCACCTTAGGTGTACGCGGCTGGCACCTTAGGCGGTTAAGCTATAGGCACCGAGCCTACATTTTTTTTTCTTAGAGATAGGGTATTATTCTTGTTGCCCAGGCTGGAGTGCAGTAGACTAATAGTTCAGTACAGCCTCAAACTCCTGGGCTCAAGATCCTCCATCTCAGCCTTCCTGGTAACTGTTGTAGGCACCACCTCGCCCAGCTTATTTTTAAAATTTTTTGTAGAGATATAAAGTCTTCTTGTATTGTCCAGGTTCATCTGGAACTCCTAGTCTCAAGTGACTCACCTCAGCCTCCCAAAGTGCTGGGATTATAGATGTGAACCACACACCTTGCTACACTCTTATATACAATTTAATGTACATAGGATTGAAAATGAACTGACAAGGAGGACGGAGACTGAGGCAAGCACAAGAAGTGACCAGATCGGAAGGTAGAGGCACAGCTGGGAGTAGAAGCTGGGGTAAGACAGAGGCAAAAGTGGTACTCACTGGACCAGATGGGAGGCCAGGACTTCCTTGCAAATGGGCTGCTCGGCCAGCGTCAGCCAGAACTCACAGGCCTCGAGGGCCACATTTTCATCATGGTCCTGGGTCCTCTGCAGCATGTACTATAGCAGGAGGGAGAGGAAGAAGCTTAGGACTGGCCTACCTAAGGTAGGCTCCCTGACCCCCACAATAGGCTGTCCGCCTGTGAGCCAGGGCTGGCCTTGGTTGTGCACACCTGGATAATGCTGTGCATATGAGGAATGAGTCTGTCAATCCGCACTTCCAGAAGCATTACCAGGGCACGACACACATTCTTCCGCACTTCAGGGTCGTCATCTACGGCCAGGGCAAACAGGTGCTACAAGAAAAATCAGGCTCAGATGTGACAGTCCCTGGGTCCTTATACCCTGCCCACCAACCACCTAGCAGCCCACCTCGATGAAGGTGTCAATGTTGTCCATCAGTGCCTGGGCCCGGTCCATGATGAACTGGTTCACACAGGCAATGGCATGGGAGCTGGCAGGGAATAGGCACACGGGTCACTCTACCCTACCTGTGCACCAGTCACCCACCCCAGGACTGCTGGAGACCTCTGGAGAGCCGCACACACCGGATCTTGGGGCTGCAATGTTTAAAGAACTGCAGGAACTTGGGGATCATGATGTTGAGAGGTCTGTTGAGGGCATCACTGTCCAGAAGTTCTGATGAGTCTTCGCAGATCTTCTGCAGGGCTCCAAAGGCTCCCTGAATAGACAGTCAAAGAGATGGGTGTGGCTGTGGGGGCTGGCCTGGGGTGGCTGTAGCACCTATTGGGGCCATCCACAACTTGTTGCCTACCTCACAAGTGTTGTAATCCTCTGAGTTGAGCAGGTTACACAGCTGAGGCAGCAGCTCAGGCCACATCTGCAGCTCCCCCTTAGAAGCGATGGTGGTGATGAGAATGCCTGGGGCAGGAGAAAAAGAACACTACCTCAGGCTGGGCAAGGGCTGCCTGGCACCTCACCCTCCACACGGGGCACCCACAGCATTGCTTTTCTGTACACTCGCCCACATATGCCGTAACACCTCTTCTGAGGTGGTACACAGAGAGGATACTTATTGATTCAGCAACCATCTCTGAGCCTTACTGTGGGCCAGCTCTGTTCTAGGTCCACAGAGACAGCATGTAAAAAAACACAAAGTCGGGCTGGGCGCAGTGACTCATGCCTGTACTCCTAGCACTCTGGGAGGCTGAGGCGGGTGGAATGCTTGAGCTCAAGGATTCGAGACTAGCCTCAGCAAAAGCAAGACCCCCATCTCTAAAACAAACAAACAAACAAAAATATCTGGGCATTGTGGCCGTACGCCTGTAGTCCCAACTACTTGGGAGGCTGAGGCAAGAGAATCGTTTGAGCCGAAGAGTTTGAGGTTGCTGTGAGCTATGATGCCACAGTACTCTGCCAAGGGTGACAAAATGACACTCTGTCTCAAAAAAAGAAAAAAACAAAACACAAAGTCCCTGACCAGGAGGAGCTGGAGGGGACCATGAGATAAAGCTAAATCAGCCAACAGAACCAGGAGGCCACATGACAAGGACCAAGAGGGAAATAAAGCAGAAATACACAAGAACATGCTCAGTTGAGAGTAGCAACTTTAAATTGGGTGGCCAGAGTGGGTACTGTCTTAAATATTTGAGCAAAGACCTAAAGGAGATGAAGTAGCCATGGAAGGATCCATCTAGGTACCTGGGGAGAAACTATCCCATGCACAAGGATGGGTACATAGAAAGGCCTATAGTCAGGACAAGCATGGCATGCCCAGATGGGCCAGAAGCCAGTGGGGCTGAGCAAAGAATGGGAGGTGAAGGCAGGGAGGTGCTGTGGGAATGATTTAGCCTGCCAATTTAGAAATGCAGGCACCTAGGGCACCCATAGCATAGTGGTTAGGGAGCCAGCCACATGAACCAGGGCTGGTGAGTTTGAACCCAGCCTGGGCCTGCTAAACAAACAAACAAGAAAAAATGCAGGCACCATATACAGCAGGCACCTGAGGGCTGTGAAAGTGTCTGGCAACAGAGCTGAATGCAGCAAGTGTCATGGCAGAGGTGGCATTTACCACCACCAGATGGCAGTATTTCCCCGAGAGGGGGGAGAAGCTACCTCTGGGAGGGAGGTGCTCCCTGCAGTGCCTAGGTACACTCTGAGAACAGAGAGGTGTGGAGTCTCCTCCATCTGTCTGTGCAGTCTTGTCTATATCAACTCTCTGTGCCTGAGTGTCCTTAACCCTCAATGGGAACAAAGAATATCACCCTCCAAAGGCTACCAGCAGATATAATCCAAGACTTAAAGCAAAGCCCAGTACCCAGAATGATCTCAGTAACCCTTGATCCTCAGGCTGGCCTAGGAGGGGATGTAGTTGGGACCTTATTGCTTTTTTTTTGAGACAGAGTCTCACTTTGTCACCCTCAGTAGAGTGCTGTAGCATCACAGCTCACAGCAACCT